AGAAAGTTGACCTGTAAGTACAAGTGACAATATCATAATAGTAAAGTAGCGAGCATTAACAGATCAAGAAAATGAGCAACAACACTTCGGATGACAAAACATTAAATATTCAACATTTCATGTCAAAGGATACAGTTGCTCTTGCAAATTGGCTCCACCATCGCTTGATCGTATAGTAGTTGACACTCCGACAACTTTCAAGTAAGGTAACTAGTCCGATAGTACTCCACTTAACTCCAATTTCCATCCACCAACCAAACCCCTTACCGGGCCCGCACTCCAAGATAAACACTGGTGGTAATACTCGAGTATATCGATTAGTCGAGGAGATAACACTCCACTTGACAACACTAGATACCCATGGTTCGTTATCTAATCGACCAAGCCCTTGCCGGCTCGACTCGATTAACTAGCCAGTGGGGTTTGGGTCCCCAAGAAATCGATGAGATAACATCTCCAATCGACTAAATCAAGATAAAAGTACGGAGACGAGAATGAGAGGCACCTCCCACTCGGATTTGAGTCTGGTACATGCTGCAGCTCAGCACTTACAAGTCAAGCGCAAGTATATCAAGTCAATTGCAACAATAAACGAGTACATATCACAATAGGACAAGTACGATAAAGTACACCCTTGCCCGACCATACCAATTACATATCACTCGATCACATTGGTCAAGTATTGAAAACAAGTGTCAATTTTAAACAGGTATTTGGAAGCACTCACCAAAGATCTAGTGCGTCTACGAATCACGCGTGATAGCCCCACCTAACCCTCGGGTGTACCCAAGGATTTGGCAGACCGCCTGCCCAACTCTCGTCAGGACTCTGTGATAGCCCCACCTCCCCCTAGGGCGTACCCCTGGGTTTGGCGGGTCGCCTACCCAACTCTCGCCAGGACTCACTCACTCATAGCTCAAGAAAAATAACATACACCCATAGAAAATAAAAAACACATCCATTTCAACTTAATATATACATTGATGGTCAAATCCAGATACAAAGCTTCTACACGCCAAGATATTTTTAAGCGTTTACAATTCAAGTACAAAGAACCCTTGTTGGGTGCAAGCGCGAGTACAATTTCAAAATTTAAAACAACTAGACTATGCTAATCTGTACACGTCTCACGCCTCGCTCGTACCCCCTGTAAGGAAAATAAATGGCGTGGAATGAGCTAAAAACCCAGTGAGGTTCCAAATAACAAGTTGACCATTATTTAAAAGTACAAGTATCAACGTAGCATAAGAACGAGCATAACAAGTTCATAAAAGTGAACAATACACTTCAAGTAGCAAATTTTTAAGTGAATGAGTGAAAATTCTTTTTTAAAAGAAATAATAACACTACGAATAACAATGCAGATGTAAGGATACCGATAGCTCCCAGGAGCCAAATTTTCCATTGCTTCACCAGAGCTTGATCAAGTATTAGTTGACACTCCGTCAACTTTCAAGGAAAGTAACCAGTCCAGTAGTACTTCGCTTAACTCCAATCCGTCCACCATTCAACCCCCTTACCGGGCCCGAACACCAACTAAACACTGGTGGTAATACTCGAGTATACCGATTAGTCAAGGAGATAACACTCCACTCGACATCACTAACTACCCATCATTCGTTATCTAATCGACCAAACCCTTGCCGGCTCGACTCGATTTACTAGCCAGTGGGGTTTGGGTTCCCAGGATTGTCGATGAGATAACATCTCCAATCGACTGAATCAAAATAAAACTACGGAGACGGGAATGAGAGGCACCTCCCACTCGGATTAAGTGTGGTATATACTGCCGCTCTGCACTTACAACTCAAGTATAAGCATATCAAGTTAATTGCAACAATAAACAAGTATATACCATATTAAGACAAGTGCGATAAAGTACACTCTTACCCGATGAAACAAATCACATGTCATTTATTTACATTGATCAAGTATTGAAAACAAGTGTCCAGTTCAACCAGGTATTTGGAAGCACTCACCAAAATGTAGTGCTTTTCAAAAATCACGTTCAGGTCCAACTCCTTGATCGGAGTCCAAATCTGTGATAAAATATCATTGACGAATGTAAAACTCTATAGAGTTCGAAACATAGGAGTTTCGCTTCAAGAAAATCAAGTAAATGCAACTCATTTAAGTAGTATTCAAGATACTTATCAAATCCCGAAAAATTTATGCTTGCTCGTTTAGTTTCAATAAGGAAGCGGTTAAAACTTTAGAACTCCCATTGGAGTCGAAAGAACGAGGAAAACGTAGTTCCATTGATTATTACTTACATTTTCCAAGAGTACGAGTTTCTGGCAAACTTTTAGCTTATATACCTTGATTAAAGAAAACTCGAATACTATAGGCGATCCAAGTCCAACTTGATCTCAAATCCCTATTTAAGTCGCGAGTATATCTATCTATCCCTTGAGTGCAAATTTGGGCAGCACGCCCTTTGTATTTACCTATTTTCCAACCATTTATGGTCTCATTCTTTTCCTCAATCAGTTCCAAAGTCACACACAAAATAATCTCATTTCAATAGCCGTTTAATAGGCTCAACGCCATACAAGTACAAAATCAAGTTAGGAAAATGTCCGGAAACGAAGTTTGAGTCATAAAACAAAAGACAGATTTGACACCGTTTAGCGTATCGGACATAACTGAAGCTACGCTTATTGAATTGGTGTACAATTTATACCGTTTCGAAGCTAAGATAAAGGGCTACATCTTTGATGAAGATCACTCAGTCCCGTTCATAGTGTATCCAGGTTAAAATTTCAAATTATAGAACCAGAATCTCACAATCAGGCTAGTTAACCGCACTATCCTTAAACGACAATAACTCAGGTTACCAAAGTCCGATTGAGGCGTTTTCAGGGCCGTTGGACAACTAAAATATAGCACTACAACTTCTATGTTTTGGCCAAATGCTAATTGATGAGAACATGAAGATTTGCATGGATTCCTTTCATTTTATAAGTCTTCACATTCCAATGATGGTTGATGGGGCAATCGGGCTCGAGAATCATTGAAGATCCAATGTTTCCAAATCTTGATTGAAATCTTGATTGGTTTCCAAATCTTGATTGATATCTTGATTGATTTCCAAATTGAGAGTTAAGTAAGTTGTTTGAATTAGGGAATAAAGGCTAAGGTCATGTTGACCATAGTTAAGCCTATTTGAGTTAGTTTCCTATTCTAGTTGAATTAGAGTTTTAGGAAAGTAGTTAATTGCTTCCAAATTTATTTAGGAAGTTGTGTCAAATTTAGAAGTCAAGTCAAATAAAGAAACTTGTATCGTTTCCAATTTAGATTAGGGTTTTGAGTTTTGTAAGGCTATAAATAGCCATGCTTATGATATTTTCAAGAAGAAGACAATTATGAATAAAATTTGAGAGTTTTCTCTTGTTCCTTGGGGAGCGTCCCTTGATACAAAGTGAGTCGAATCTCCTTTGTTCAAGTTTCGGCTTATCAATTCAAGACCATGTTGAATTGTGGCGCCATTCTACTGCTCTAAACAATCTCGAGTTGTCCTTGATTGGTTTAGAATCCGTCTTTTGTACCCATAATCTGATCAAGATAGATCTTTTCGCTGTCTGATTGATTTGATTTCTTCTCGAGTGGTCCTTGGAGAATCAGGTTCGTATCACTAATTCAATACGGATCAGGGTGAACAGATGCGGTTAGATTGGTGAAATGTCAACACTGTCCACAGAGCTCTACCTATGGCAGTCCGGGGTATTTTTGTCTTTTCACATGCTACAGTACTCAGATTGTGCTGAACTTTTATAGGAAGCTATAAAACATCATTCCCTACAACTTTTCTGTTTTGTGTTAAGCCTAATTCGCCCTCCATCATGGTTAAACAGAACCGGACAGAACAGAGCAATGAAGAATCTCAATTCTGAAATTTAAGGTATTCAAGGTGTAACTTCACATTTCTAGCTTAAAACCACTACTACTACCTCCTATACAAGTTTACATACACCATATACCCTCCAAACAACAAGAATTACAAGTAAACCATTCAAAATCCTAACTCAAAATTCAACACTACAATCATCAAAATCACTTAGAATAGGTATTACCAAGCATGAATTCAAGTTACTATATAACTCAAACAAGAGTAAGGGAAAAGGAAAGGATGGTCAGCCATAATACCTCAATAAAAGGGCTTGCAAGAGTTATCCTTCACCTTTCCTTGTGAAATTTAGCTCCTTAAGCTTCCCAATCTCTCAATTTGCAAGTTAATCGGTTTAGTTTTCTTATTTTCTCACTCAATCAAGCAAAACCCAAGATGGATTGAAGCTCTTTTTCTCTCTTTTTTGTCTCTCAATTTTTGGCCACCATAGCTGCAAAATGAAGAGAAAGTGAAGTCCAAGAGAGATAAGAAGCTTGGACTTGAATTTGATCAAAGATGGCTAGATGTTCTCCAAGAGTCACTCCAAGATCTTCCTCAATTTTTTTTCTTTTCCTTGGCTTTCTTAGTCAAGAATTTCGGCTATCACATGCTGATTATGGCTGATCTTTTGGCTCTAATAACAATGAGATTAAGTTAATGAAGTGGTGGTCAAGTGGTGTGTTCAATCGGTAGTGAACGATACCCGTCGGTTCGAGCCGATTTTCCTTAAATCGCGTATACTAGGGTTTTAACTTATAATTCACTAACTTATTATTATCCCTTCTAATTATATACTTAATATCATCTAAAATCACTCTTAATTACCAAATTTGATCCACACTCCGTACCGAATAGTCACACTACGAAAAGGCGTAAAAAACCCTAATTTGCGATAATTTGAAAACGAAAGGGAAAACCCTTAATTTTATATTCATTTGCACTTATTGTGAGGTGATTGAGTAGTAAGGTTAGGCTAAAGTAATAAAGTTCAAATAAAAGGGAATTTTTAAGAAAAATATAAGGAATTTTACGAGTCGTCACACTCTCTCCCCCTTAAAAGAATTTCGTCCTTGAAATTCATGCAGATATCCGTACATAGCTCATGGTATTTTTCTTACATGTCATTCTTTAGCTCCCAAATCTCACCATTAGCCAAAAGTGTAGCCAGACAAGGGAAAACATGCATTGTACCTTGGTGTCCTAAAGCATATACTCTAGCTGGCACTCTGGATTTATCCCCTCCTCTATTCGGTTGTTTAAGGTTTGATGTGTCGGTTGGCTGGGTATAACTGATCAGTGGAGAATTGGCGATCTGGTGCTCAGTACTTCCACACCGTAAACACTTTCGAGCCTTTCGCCAGCAATTATCTTCTGTGTGGTTGGATTTCCCGCAGTATCCACAAGATACTCGAGGGACTGGAGTCTGATCTCCTTGCGAGGCACCTCTTGCTTGGCCCCTTCCACCTGAGGCCCCTCTTGAAGTAATTCCCTTAGGTGTCCCCGAAATTTCCTCACCACCATCTTCTCGACCCATCTTAGAGGGTGGCTTATCTAGTTTACCTTGGTCTTGCCCTTGACTTCCACCAGGTGCACCTCTCCTTTTTGCATGAAAACCCCTTACTTGTGCCCTAACAATTTCTATTCTCTGGGCTTTCTCCAAAACTTCCGTAAAAGTATTAATCTGAGCCGCCGCCAAGGCCTCCTGTATCTCTACATTGAGCCCTTGCACAAACCTCTGTACTCTCCTTTGTTCCATAACTATCAGTTCGGGAGCAAATTTGGATAGTTTAGTAAACTGCGTCTCATACTCGGCTATACTGAAAGTTCCCTGACGGAGCTTGATAAAATCGTCCTCTCTCTTCTCTTGGACGATAGGTGGGAGGTAATTTTCGTTAAACTCCCTCACAAAATTCAACCAGGTCCATGTGGCTCCTTCACTCTCCCACCCTACATTCCACTAAGCCCTGGCCAAACCTTCAAATTGAAAAATGGCAAATTGCACTTGTTTATTCTCCGCATAGTTTAGAGCGGCAAATATATTAATCATGGTCTCTAACCATCTCTCCGCTCCCTCAGGGTCCGGTCCTCCCAGGAACTTAGGAGGAGAGAACTTTTGAAATTTCTCCAGGGCCCTATCTTGTCCCATTTCAGGGTCCCTAGGTTGATTAATAGAGGCTTGACCCTGCTGCTCTACTAGTTGAGAAAGAATATTAGTCATCTGTTGAATCGCCCTTGCTACCTGATCCACCCTATGGCCTGGAGTCCAGGTTGCGGTTCAACTGTTTCACCTCTTTCCTCTCTCGGTTCCCGTACTGGTTCTTGTGCCTGTCTAGTCCCACGGCCACAGCTAGAGCCGCGTCCTCGAGTAGTTCCACGTCCTTGACTCCACCTACCCTCCATACCTCTTTTGAACAATAGCCGATATAAGTATAAGAAAAATAAAGTAGCTATAGTTCGATAAAAGCATTTTCAAATCATAAAGTGGAAAATAATAGAACACATTGAAAATAACATACTTTCTTTCTATACATGTCATAGCAATTCACATTTCCTATGGAACATTAACCCCAGGTATTGCTCAAGCACAACACTTAAGCAAAACTCGAAGAAGTATAACCAGGTATGTGCACTTGCATACTAAGGGTCACAATTCTCCCTAATATCATTAATCTATCCCAAGTTCAGACTATTTGCATTCCCTGTGCCTTGGCCTTCGCCATACATCCCCATTCTAATATTATTCGAGATATCGACTTATCATAACGGTATCACTCGTTGGTACTCAGGTACAAGAATCCAAAATAAGATAATTCACAACTCGAGCTAGCCAGTCCCCAAGAGTAAATCATCTACTTTTGAGATTCCTACCCAACGTACATATCTAAGATCCCCAACAATAGACATTTGTTCCACACTTAACAAGCCAATCCCCACAGTCTGAGAACTCTCTCTCGGCACGAGCTCGATAAGAGCTCTGATACCATCTGTGACGGCCCCACCTCCCCCTAGGCGTACCCCAGGGTTTGGCGGGTCGCCTGCCCAACTCTAGTCAGGACTCACTCACTCATAGTTCAAGAAAAATAACGTACATCCATAGAAAATAAAACACATCCACTTCAACTTAATATATACATTGATGCTCAAATCCAGATACAAAGCTTCTACACGCCAAGATACTTTCAAGCATTTACAATTCAAGTACAAAGAACCGTTGTCGAGTGCTAGCGCGAGTACAATTTCAAAATTTAAAACAACTAGACTACGCTAATCTGTACACGTCTCACGCCTCGGTCGTACCCCCTGTAAGGAAAATAAATGACATGGAATGAGCAAAAAATCCAGTGAGATTCCAAATAGCAAGTTGACCATTATTAAAAAGTACAAGTATCAACGTAGCATAAGAACGAGCATAACAAGTTCATAAAAGTGAACAATACACTTCAAGTAGCAAATTTCCAAGTGAACAAGTGAAAATTCTTTTCAAAAAGAAACAATAACACTATGAATAACAATCCAGATGTAAGGATACCGATGGCTCTCAGGAGCCAAATTTTCCATTGCTTCACCAGAGCTTGATCAAGTAGTAGTTGACACTCCGTCAACTTTCAAGGAAAGTAACCAGTCCAGTAGTACTTCGCTTAACTCCAATCCGTCCACCATTCAACCCCCTTACCGGGCCCGAACACCAACTAAACACTGGTGGTAATACTCGAGTATACCGATTAGTCGAGGAGATAACACTCCACTTGGCATCACTAACTACCCATGGTTCGTTATCTAATCGACCAAGCCCTTGCCGGCTCGACTCGATTAACTAGCCAGTGGATTGTCGATGAGATAACATCTCAAATCGACTGAATCAAAATAAAAGTATGGAGACGGGAATGAGAGGCACCTCCCACTCGGATTGAGTGTGGTATATACTGCCGCTCCGCACTTACAACTCAAGTATAAGTATATCAAGTTAATTGCAACAATAAACAAGTATATACCATATTAAGACAAGTGCGATAAAGTACACTCTTGCCCGATGAAACAAATCACATGTCATTTATTTACATTGATCAAGTATTGAAAACAAGTGTCCAGTTCAACCAGATATTTGGAAGCACTCAGCAAAATGCAGTGCTTTTCAAAAATCACGTTCAGGTCCAACTCCTTGGTCGGAGTCCAAATCTGCGATAAAATATCATTGACGAATGTAAAACTCTCTAGAGTTCGAAACATAGGAGTTTCGCTTCAAGAAAATCAAGTAAATGTAATTCGTTTAAGTAGTATTCAAGATACTTATCAAATCCCAAAAAATTTATGATCGCTCGTTTAGTTTCGATAAGGAAGCGGTTAAAACTTTAGAACTCCCATTGGAGTCGAAAGAATGAGGAAAACGTATTTCTATTGATTATTACTTTCATTTTCCAAGAGTACGAGTTTTCGGCAAACTTTTAGTTTATATACCCTGACTAAAGAAAACTCGAATACCATAGGCGATCCAAGTCCAACTTGACCCCAAATCCCTATTTAAGTCGCGAGTATATCTACCTATCTCTCGAGTGCAAATTTGGGCGGCACGCCCTTTGTATTTACTTATTTTCTAACAATTTATGGCTTCATTCTTTTCCTCAATCAGTCCCAAAGTCACACATAAGATAATCTCATTTCAATAGCCGTTCAATAGGCTCAACATCATACAAGTACAAAATCAAGTTAGGAAAATGTCTGGAAATGAAGTTTAAGTCATAAAACAAAAGACAGATTTGATGTCATTTAGCGTATCGGATACAACCGAAGCTACGCTTATCGAATTGGTGTATAATTTATACTGTTTCGAAGCTAAGATAAAGGGCTACAACTTTGATGAAAGCTACTCAGTCCAGTTTGTGACGGCCCCACTTCCCCCTAGGTCGTACCCCAGGGTTCGGCGAACCGCCTGCCCAGCTCTCGCCAGGACTCACTCGTTCACTTCAATCCTCAATTAAAAATTGAAATAAATCACGAGAATAAATATAACGACGATCCAAAACTTAACGCAAAACTTATATACATTACTATTTCAAAAGGGAGTACAAACATCGAATATACAAAGGTTCTCAGTTCACCACACATCCAGCCCGTGCCAAGCACTAGGGCGAGAACCATTACAACACCAAAAACTAGTCTAGGCTAGTCTAAACTGAGCTCTCGTCCTTGCTCGCCTTCCCCTGTTAAGGAAAACAAACTAAAGGGGTGAGCTAAAAGCTCAGTGAGATTCTATATACAAAAACAAGTAATTGAACAAGGACATTAATCATGTAATAACAAATAATCCGGAAAACATGTCCAATATAAAGCAATCATAATACATTCATTAAAAGGATACAGGCTCACAAGGAGCAATTCGTTGTTCGTTTCCCATTCATTTCCTTATTCCTCCAATTATTTAAAATTGCATCTTTGTAAGTAAACCCCTCATTTTTTTTTGACGTTCGTTTGTTCATTCTTGTTTACCTCCTCCTGGACGTTGGCCAGGCTTTTCCCCCCCATCCGGACGTTGACCGGACTACAAGGTAATACTCGAGTATACCAAATGTGCACCCAGGTCACCAAATCGCCCGACCGAGTCCGCTTCTGGCTCGAGTCGATCGGTAACAAAGGCAAGGGCCCAGTTCAGCCAAAAGGCTTACATTCATGCGCAACTAATATTTCAACATTTAAACACCAAAAATCTCATATTTATTTAGGTCGAGTGCGATAAAGTACACACTTACCTAGCAAAAGTTCATTTTTATAAATCGTAGAAAACAATTAACATTTAATCAAATGTTCACAAATAACCACATAGTCACAAAAATCCACATAGTCATAGAAACAAAACGTATATAGAACACTCACTAAGCTCGCAAATGTGGTTTCATTCACTTCCGTCAAAAGAACGTTGTGCACCACGGTCACGTCCTAAAACATGCAAACAAATACCATGAGACTCGATAACGAGTCATAAACCAAGGCCAAACATGACCCCAATAGGGTTCCATAAGTATATACAACCATTAAAGGAAACCAGAAATTTCGGAAATGTAACTAGCTTTGGCCCTGAAAAGAAAACAGTTTTTGTCCTCATTTTGCGGTAATGGCACCAATTTCACTACGATTATCGGATGAGGGTGAAAGACCCACCATTTCGAAGCTAAGAGACAGGGCTACAACATCACAGAAGGTCACTCAACCCATTTTTGAGTGCAAACAGGTCGAAAATGCAAGATACTACATCAAAAACGTAAAACAGATTCACCAAAATGCATTCTAGCGGAAACATCATAACTCAGGCTCTACAAGTCCAAATCCAGAAATTCCAAAACCAACTGAAAGCTAAGAAACAGGGATAAATTTCATCAGAAGGCCTCAATAACCAATTTGGAAGCAATTCCAGCCAAAACAACCAATTACAGGCGCAATTCTTACATTCGGGTAAAACCAGAACAGCAATAGTAATTTCGACTTATCTCATTCTACACTTCTCCGATTGACCTGAAATTTTGTAGGCACCTATAAAATGTCATTTCCTACAACTTTTATGTTTTAAGGCAAGGCCAATTCGGCCTCTATCTAGGACCTAAAATTTCGGACAGAATGCTCTCTCAAGAACCCTAGTTTTCTGAAATTTCTTCCAAACCAGAAATTGGTTGCAATTAATCACTTTTCCCACCTCCTTAAGTCATTATAGACCATTTCCAATCATCATAGATAGCCACACAATCATGCTTATATTAAAACAGAAAAATCCCCAAAAATAATGAAACTTGATCATTTCAACCACAAATCAAGAATTAATCCATAAACTTGCATCTTCTACTACCACTAAGCATGATTTAAGCATCAATTAAAGGAGGAGGGTGGTTCTTCACAACTTACCTTAAAACAAGAGAGAGAGAGCTATTGGTCACCTTAGCTTTCCAAATAATTCCACACAACAACTCACCAACACTTCCTTAAGTAGTTTTATGGAGCAAAATCAAGGTTGGATGGTTGAGTAAGTTGATTGAAGCAAGATGGAAGCCAAAATCTTGAAGAGTTTTCTTTCTTTCCTTGCTTAAGAGATTCGGCCAAGAGGAAGAGAAGAATGAGGGATTTTTGGTGAATTTTTAAGATATTTAAGTCAATTGGTAAGACATCCAATAGTAGTCAAATGGTCCAACCAATAGCCAAGTGACACTTGTCACCTTTTATTAAATACCTACCTAA